ATGGGAACCCTTATTTTTTATTACTTTTTTTCTACTAGTTAATTTGAACAACTTTTGTCTAAAACATTGTTTTATCTGTCTAATATTTTTTTAGATATTTGAGGAAAACTTGATAACTTTTTCAATATTTAACTTACGATATCTTACTAATTATTTGTCGGAAGAAAAAGTGGCACTTTCTTGCTTTATTTAGTCTCAAGAATATATTGTTATAATAGCGCCTTGATGTTTGTTAATTTGATGATTTTGAAATTTCCAAAAATCAGAAAGTTAACAAAAGTCCAGGCGCTATTGTAACAATATATTCTTGAGACTAAATAAAACAAGAAAGTCTAGTACCACTTTTTCTTCCGACAAATAATTAGCGATATCATAGCGAAATAATATCGTAAGCAAAGTTAGGCGTTTTCCATGCCCAGCGCGGCCTATAGACGCTCCGCAGCAAGCCGTGTGCTGAGCGGTAACGCAGCTCGTGCTGACCGTCGCGCGGCGTTAAAGCGCCAAGACGCCATCGCGACAGTCAACGCGAGATGCGTTATTGCTTAGCCCGTACACAGCTTGCCGCGGAGCGTCTCTATAGACGTGCTGGCCTATGCCGCGCTGGGCGTGGAAAACGCCTAATTTTGCGCTGTTATAATTAAAAAAACTATTACTATTATATTTTCACATTATGGTAGAGGACTTTTTTGTTCCTCTCACTTAGCTCTATGTCCCTACGGAGCCCGTGTGCCAAAGTTCTGAGACACCCTATATATATATATATATATATATATATATTAAATGGTCCCAATAAAAAAAATTATCAAAGATTAAAAAATAAAAATATCCAGACCATAGCAACTAATTCTAATATAATGTAGAATATTAGACTAGTAGTATAATTTATACTATATTATTTTTAAATTAAACACGAAGTTAGAATATTTTGCATTTTAAATTAAAATAAAAGGATCAAGAGAAAAAATATTCAATAAAGAATTGTTTAACTAGCATTATTAATTATCGCTCCTCTCTTGTAGTGACAATTATTTAAATAATCTGGATGTCCATAAAATTATCTTATGAAACATTGACAAATTCCTGCAATTTTTTTCTGAAATTTGTAAAACATATTAATAGCTGACATTTTTCTAAATGGTGCAATGTAAGATGTTAAATTGTTGCTGTAAAAGGTTCATTTAACAAAACTGATAATATTATAAAAAGTATTTAGTAATTTTTAGTAATATCCAAAATAGCACATAAAGGCAAATAATATTAAATTTTTTCTTTACGATATACGTATAACAGAATACGACGTAAAAGTATAACTGATGACACAGTCGTATTTTTTATTTTCATTTAAATCGCTGAAAAAACGATTTATTTTAATGTTTGACTAGAACCTTAACAATATTTCACACACATACATACGCACATGCACATGCACACGCGCATGCATGTATAATTGCGCATGTATAATTGCACATGTACACCCACACAGCACACTTTATCTCAGGGGACGTCTGACAGACATCATTCTAAGATACTGCAATATCTTGGGGATATATAAATGTCCGCTCTTTTAGACCCTTCTACACATATCCTACAGATCTTTTTTAGTAACTTTAGTTCCTTTTCAGAAACTTTTAATTTCCAAAAATTATTACTAAAGGAGATATTCGTAGGATATCTGTGGGATCTAAAATAACGGACATTTGTATATCCCCAGGATATTATTGTAGGACGTCCTTAGGATAACGTGTGCTGTGTAGATATGTATATATCTTTGTTATATAATTGTGTATGTATTTTTGTTATAGAAATCTTGTTTAAAAAATGTTTTTCATTATTGCTATAAAAAAATGGATAAATTTCACGATAAAATGTAAAAATGTATAAAATAAACGTAACGTCTATCAAAAAAATATATAACAGCAATTATATCATTTACTGTCGTAAATAGACAAATATCTTATCAACAAATACATACAACCAACCATGTTAGCGCTTACAACTTGGAATTTCTTCACTGAATTGAACAAACTTTTGAAGTTCCAAGAGAATCGTCCATCGCGGCTGCACGTCTTCTGATGCCTTCTAAATATATCTCACGATTGAAAAGACCAGCACCAAGTGGAATTCTAAAAATAATTAATAATAATATTTATATTGTTATTGATACATAAATTATTCATTTGTTAAACATCTGTTGCTTCAAATAATAAAATTATAAATAATAAAATAATAAAATTAATAAATGTCAGTAGATACGTACGTATCGATGCCCGGCCTCAGTATAGTTTTAAAAACTCCCCAAACTGGTTTGTGATCTGAAGTACAAATACTGGGAACGGAATCGTATATTAAACATTCTATGGTACCGTCTTTATGTGAATTAGCGCTGTCATGATTGACGCGTCTAATGTACCCTCTGGTGTGACCTTTTCCTTTGAAAAGGATTCTATCGGTATATGCAGGAGTGCGTTGTTTACTGCTAGAATCAAAATTCTGTGTGCCTGGATCGTATTTATAAGTAGGGGGGAAAATGATCGGAGCTTCTTCGAAACCACGTAATACTGCGCCTTCATTCAAAATAATTCTCAATTGATCTTTATGTAAATTTATCGGCGACTCTTGCGGAAAACATGTGTTTGTAATCCATTGGATTACCTCTTCTCTCGGTTGAACTAGACGAAAATTCAAATCGCCACACCAAAACACGCAATCAAAATTTTGTGTTACATCTGAAATACGAAATTTGTGCTATACACAATATACAAAACACAAAATAATGCAATATCAATACCTTTGCTTTTGTGCTTAATAGGTAATTCCTTAGGAAGATCGAGATTTCTAACGATTCTTTTTATGTCGTTAATTCGTTCTTTTACTTTATCTTGATGAGCAGTTAAATGGGCGGTGACGAAGAGAAAACTTGTACCAAATATCATAAGAGCTATTGCCACAGCGCCCTTTGTTCTAAATGCTGTTCCAGTTCTCGTAGAGAAATTATCTTCTTCCGGAGTAGAGCAGAACCAAATCAGATCTCGCCTCAAAAATAATGCAAGATGAAGTGTACCAAGACTACTGCTAGTAAGTAATACATGCGAAGGGCCGAGAGTCTCTTGCAGAGCCGCTTCCCACTCATTTCTTTCGGAACATGATTCTTGCGTGCCTATAGCTAGTAAATCAGGAATAGTTTCTATATCTGATGGTAACATAAAATCGTTTAATTCCTTCGGCGGAGACTGTCCATTCATATTCCACGTGCCAATAAAAATCTTCAATTCTCGATTCGGCAATACTTTCTCTAGTTCTACTGGGCCGAGTAAGGAATTAGCAGCAATTCTCCCATGGAGAAAATTCCTATAAAATTAAATTGTCAATTGGAGAAAGAAAATAATGAGAAACCAATGATATATACTTCTTTTAAAAAGACATACCTTTCTCGTGCCTTCTGTGTAGGTATTAAATTAAGTACTTGTGCAGCTAGTAAAGATTGTTTTGCTAAACTATCCATAGACGCTCCTGTCGTCTGACAAAAGTAACGGTTTCGTGTTTTAGACAAAGCATCGTGTGATGTTGAGCGTGGCTTACGCTGTATCGGTGCACTTTTAATAGATTCAGGACTAGAATGCCTCATAGAGTTTGTTGGTGAATTCGTGATTAAATTATCTGCGGATCTTCTTTGTAGTAGTTTATGACGTAATTGTCCTGGTATATTCGGAGATTGCGATCCGGAAGAAGAATTTCCTCCTGCAACAGTTTATTATATATCACAAGATTCTCTTTTAAGAGATTATTGTGCATCGTAAAAATAACAAAAAGAAAAAAACATATCGTTTACATTATCTTAAAAGCATAAAATATAAGTATTGCTTGAGAAAATAATATATTTTGTGCCTAAAGATTAGATTCATAATGCTCTTATAACAATGAAATCTTCTGTAATGAAACTATAAATTAGTTCAATTGTTACCTACTATGGTCTTGACATTAACATACAATTCTCAACTCTTATTGGAATCTGCCGTGTTATGATATATAAATTTATTAATATGTAGCTGTTTAATATAATTACGAGTACTTCGAATTTTCTCGTACAATTGTTGTACAAGAGTTGTTTAAATAATATAGTCATATATATTTAAAACTAGAATAGTTAATCATTGTATAACACATTATTAACCAATTAATAGTCAATACCACTTGAATTTGAATCAAATAACCTGTTATACTAATTTCAAATCATTGATATATATGTTTCACATAGTCTTTTTAAATTAAATTTTCCAAAAAAATTTTGTCTCTTTTTATAAAATGTTATTATAAATTTACAGAATTCTTATAATAAATATAAAATCTTCTATTAAACACTATTTGGATATAAATCCAAATCCTATTATTTTTGCTTAAAAAATTAGAAATTAGACATACAAAATATATTTAATTATAGCTGCACACATTTACAACATTACAATATTAAGCATATTGCTTAATGTTTACATTTCTATTCTAATTAAGTATAAAATAACTGTATGTATACATTGTCTTAATAGGATTAATATATTTATTATCAGTTTAATGTATTGTTAATCTACAATGTGTTGTTTGTTGAGAAAATTTTAATATTTTATAACAACAAAATGTACAATGTTCTAGCAAAAACATAATAATCAAATTTTAAATGGCATATAAGTTTCATGTATTATTTTATACCTTCTTTTTCTGGCTTTTCACAATGAATATCATGATATTGAACCATTCTGTAAACTTCTGAAGGATTGTAGAACTGCCGTTCCATTTCCAGGAAGAAATAAGTGATATACTTTCCCTTTGTAAAATACTCATCCTTTAAATATTTTTGAGTTTTTTCAGACTCAATTAGATGTTCATTTTCATCTTCTGAAGATTCTTCAAATGAGTCTTCCGTTGAGTCTGCAGAGAAGTCACTATCTTCACTACTCTCTTGAAAAATTACTTTTGATTCTTTTACTACAAATGCGCGTATATTATTTATAACATCAGCATTATTAGAACAAGATTGCAATATTTTGCTTTTTGAATCAGAACTAAAATCTTTTGTTCCATTATTAGCATTTTTTGAATATGATTGTGAAATTACGCTTAAGTCTTTATCTTGTCTTAAGTCCTGTCTTAAAAATGCAATTTTTGTATTCATATATCTATCTGCTCCTAATTTATGTTTTCCCTGCTCATTTTTCATATTATATTGTTCATGTTCTATACTCTTATTATTTTCTGTATCAAATTTGACATTCTTGTCACTCTTTATAGTTATATTTGTACAACTTTGTTGCATACATACATCTGAAATATCCTTATCACTATATTGTTCTGTCCCAAATGAATTATCTTTTATTAATATTGTACATATTTCGCTTTTGCCAACGACTGACGGTATAATTTTATTATCAAAGCTATGAGATACATTTTCCAACTTATTAGACTGCTTATTATCATATGCTTCTAACTGCCTATAGAACTCTGATTGTTGTCCAGTTTCATAAGGTTTTCTCTTAAATGCACGTGATATTTTGTTAAGAAATGAACTTTTTCTTCTATTCTTATTCGTATTAGACATTTTTAACAGATTGTTCGCACTTTCAATAATCACTAAGAACACCTGCACAGGTATTAAAAATGAAATGATAACTGACTGTTACCACGTTTATAACTGACATAGCTTTACATCACACTGAAAACGTTGCGTCTTGTCGCGCAGGTTTAGAATGTAAGATGGAGGGGGATATATAAGGTCATCTGATTACCACTTAACTATTACACAATGCACATAAAGAGAGGAATTGCAAAGGAGTCATGCCTAGTTAAAATTAGACATAAGGTAATTGAAGTTTTCCAGTTTCATAGAAAAACATTCTTCTTTTTAAGATAAAATATTTTCAGTATATCAAGAAATACTATATCAATAAAATAGCAAAAACGGTAATTATATATATTAAAGGATACCTCGCAGATGACGTTGAACTTCATATATATTATCATGGACATGTCCTTGAGTAACTTACTAAAAGTTTCAGTCGGCGGTCATTGTTTATTAAAAAGTTACTAACAAAAAAGTTTTGATAAATATTTAAAAATATTACTCCTAAAAATCGCGATTTTTTGCAGCAATTAATAGAATTAACTATAAGATAGCATATATATATAAGGTTTTAAGAGAGAAGGGAGAGAAGTTTTTTATAGGAAAAAATTCAAAAATATAAGTTCTACATTGACCAATATTTTTACTACAAAATTAAATGAATAATAGTCTATTCACTAAAATTTGCAAATTTCTATATAATTTCTATATAATAAAACATTAAATTTATAAAACGTAAATAACATTAAATCTATGTAAAAACTTAACCTATATCTATCTAATAATAATATTAATAATCTTTTTATAATATATCTCATCTTGCATAGGGGCTTTGCTAATCTTTTTAGTATAATCTTTTTTGGTATATTATAGATGTATTAATTTAGTAAGGCACAGATCTAATAAATATATTTATCTTCTGGATCTCCATCACTCGTTTGTAAAATTACTTGAATTTATATATTTTGTATAAAGACTAATAAAGACTATAAGACTTATTTATATAAATTCTAATATTTTTCACAAGTGAGTGATGGAGATCCAGGGAGTGAAGATCCCGGTAAGAGGGTGGTGAAACATCTCCCATCAGTTAAAAAACATTTTAAAAGAAAAAATATGAATGAATGTATTTATTAAATCTTTGCCTTATTATTAAACAGATGAGTCTATAATATACTAGAAAAGAAATATACTGGAAAGATTAGCAAAGCCTCTATGCAAGATGGGACATATTATGAACATATCTATTAAATTTGTAATTATTTCATCAAAAAATAATACTATGTGAAGGAATATAAATATAAATAATAGTTGAAAAAGTAATGTTATTGCACTTCTTTGATTATGTTAGTATTTACATCTTATAACATCACTATTTCATTTGATTATTTTCTTTCTACAAAAATACCACAATATATTATTTCTAAATTTATTTGTTGAATTTTTGTTTGAACGTAAATATTTTTTATATATTTTTGAGCGCATAATTATTTATAAAACAGATTGATCTATATTTAATAACAAAATAAATTAAAAAGTAGATAAATGTGTAATACCTTACAATATAACGACTTTATTTGATTTTATTTCCTAATATCAAAAATAACAGCAATTTAAGTTGAATTAAGTCAGGTCAAGTTATATTAGGATGTATCAGGTTATTTTTTGGAAATGGAGAGTGCAAGAGGACAAATTCTGCTTCTCCTTCATCAACATATGCATGCACATAATATTTTGCATGCATAAACAAATAAATACATGAGTGGAGAGATCAGCATTTATAAAAATTCTTTTGCTAATAACTTTTTAATGAACAATAACCGCTGACTAAAACTTTTTGCAAGTTATCCAGGGAAATATCCTTGACAACATATATGAAGTTCAAGATCATCGGTGAGATCTCTTACATGCATAATATGCATAATTACCGCAAAACTACTGAGCGATTATCATTTTGTCATTCAGTTGATATTAATTATTTAGATACATTTATTTTACTAAAATGAAATTTTTTATATGTAAATATTATACTACTAAATTCAATAATAAAACCTGACATTTAAGATGTGTAAATATAATTTGTAAGCTTACCTTCAACATAAGTACTGCAATATTGCTCTTTTGCTGTATTATTCTTTTTGATTATAGTCTCTTGAATCATATGAATATCATGCTCGACATATATCTCTTCTTTCTTGACTAGTACATTTGTTTGACATTCTCCATTCACAGAAGCTACTTCAGATTTAACTGAAGTACGACTTAAGGTTGTTGGAGAAATTCTACTAACAGTTAAGCTCTGGGGTGGTGTTCTACTACGTTCAGTCATTGCGCAACATAAAGACAGTTTAGTACTAGTATGTGATCCGTGTTGTGAACTGTCTATCTTAGTATTCTTATTTGAATCTTCATCCTTGTAAGATGGCTCTAAGCAACCAACTTTAGTCTTCTTGTTCATCAATATGCGACAAAGAGATTTCTTTTTTTGCTTTGATTTTGGAGAAATATCTACCTTTGCAATATTTGAAACACTACAGTTTTCATTTCCTTCACTCTTCTCCATAATACTTACAGCTGTATTATTTAGTGATTTGAGATTAGCAATCTATATAACTTGTCTTTAATTACATGAACATTATAGATCATTATAGAAATTTATTCTATACTTGAATGTTCAGCGAACCTTCAATATGTAACAAAAACATAGTTAAGGCATTTTTTTATCTGAAATTATATAGAATAATATTTAATACTTAAAATTTCTTATATTTCTTCACTGCTGGCTAATTAAGGTTGGTTAAGTTGATTTATTAAGTTAATTATTTGTAATATCTTTTATATATCATTATATATTAAAAACCAGAATAAATCATAATATGACATAATAAATCATATATTTTACAAATATTTATGATTATATTTTAATACTATTTCTGCTACTAATCAACCATTATATGTCTATATATTTCAAATATTTAATTTATAAATAAATTGATATTTAATTATACAATATAATTTTTCTTATTATTTACCAAGTATTTATATCAGTAAATATTTTTGGACTTTAGAACCTCAGGTCACACATAGTGTATAAACTTCAAATCAGTGTATCTATCCAATCCTTGTATCATATCAGTACAGTTGCATTTTTATTTTGGAGGCACATATAAAAAATTGTTCGACCTAAAGTAATCATACTATTTGTAATTCAATATTTAGATCGATTAGTTGCAGGAGCATTATAATCTCCAGATTACATATACTTCAATACGACACAGCATTAACTCGTATAATTTCCATAGATTGAGTAGTAGTCTCTCGATAGAAGTATTTGTTCTTCACTTCTATGAAATTCGGTTCAAAATCGACGATTGTGTATGTGTGTGAACTAATCGCACTACTGCTGATAAATCGATGTCATTCACTTTTTTAACTTCATACATAATCGAACCGAAAGTTCGATTGAACACATGTTTGAATACTTGTGGTCACAACTCTGACTTCAGCCTCCATTTCTGGCAGTTGCGGTGACAGGTCGATACTCGACTCAGCACACATTACTTATAAACTACATATGCAGTTCATTTTTTTTCATTAATTTTTTGTTGCCAAGATAAATTGCACACGCACTTTTCCAGTATGCATATATATATAATATCATATTTACATCGCTAATTCACGCAGTTACAATTTTTAAATGACAGATTGACTGATGACAGATCGACAGTTTTGACGTGAGCTCGGTAAAATCTATACACTTCGCCCGATTTTCAGTTCACTCCGCCTACCGCTATTCCTCTTACGTCTTTCCCCGCGTGCGGCTCGCAATCTGCGCAAGACTCAGTAACGTATGACATGTGAACTTATTTCCAATAGCTTTCACGTTATCTATGAGGTTTACTATTGTTGATACATTTTTTTCCCGCGCATCGTACGTTACTGAGCCTCTCACGACTCGTGGGCCATGCGCGTGGGAGCTTACGTTCATTCATGTGTGATGGCCTTTAAGAAATGTTTTTTGTTCTCAAACATATGACTACTTCGTTGAAAACGGTCAAGAGTTAAGAAGTTGTCAAATTTATCTCTGTATTGCGATAGAGTGTTACAAATTTAACGTTATTGATTATTAATCTAATGTTTGGTATTTTTGATAGTAAATTAATATAATGTCACGCTCTATTTTTCAAGGTATATATATTTATTTTAATTATACTTGTAAATATAAACAAGTATTCCCAGATAGATAGACATGTTGGCAATAGTATGAAGACATTCAACATGTGTTTTATATCATTAGAGCGGTATAACATGTTTGTAGTATGCTTATTGTAAAAAATACATATTTATTATCCCATACTTTGCAGCAAAATAGCTTGTTATATTGCTGATTAATTATATCGTCTTGCTGACATAATATAATATGTAGTATATTATCATAATTTTCATGGCCTCAGATTGTTTCTTTTATATATTGCTACAATGCTTTTTATTTGAGGATGCATCTCTACATGTTTATATTACTATTTTTAATTCTCGAATTCAGTCTCTATGCAAACAATATGCCAAAATTTGTCTATCTGTTGTATCAAATATAATGATATTTTTTATTTATTAATAATATTTGATCTTTTTATATCCACAGTTTTTGATCAGTATCAAAGAGCACGATTGCTTTTTGTACAATCTGTCGCAAATTTGTCTTTAAAATCCAACAATATTGATTGCTTGGAAGCAGCAGGTGTCATAGAACTGTTAAGCCCTTTATTAGCAGACATTGTACCATCCATTCAACATACGGCAGCAATTGTTTTAGGCAAGCTGGCAAATCATAATATAAAACTAGCACAAGCTATTATCAAAAGAAATATATTGTCACAGTTGCTGAAAAATATAGATAAACAAAATGTATGAGTTCCTGGAATGTAAGCACTTCAGTTATAATAGAACATATATTTTTATAATATTTTTAATATCAATTTTAGATATTTTATTTTCATATTTTTAACATACAATTAATATAATTAAGGTCAAATTAATATAATAATTCACATATGTAAGGATTACATATTACATATATATATATATATATATACAAAATATTGCAATATATATGCATTATAGTATAGTAGTATTTTAAATATGTCTCAACAATATATAATTAAGGAAAATATATTATCACAGAAATTTTACAAGAAAGCAGCACTCTTTGTTTTGCGAGCAATAGCAAAGCATTCATCAGAATTGGCGTTAATAATAGTAAATGATAGCTTGCAGATTATAGTTGAATGCTTGGAAGATTTTGATCCTGGAGTAAAAGAGGCAGCAGTTTGGGCATTAGGATATATTGCAAGACATGATAAAAATTTAGCTCAGTTGGTAGTAGATGCTGGTAAAATTATTATAATGAACATTTTCGACTAATATGATACTATATATTTTTCAGTAATATATATTAGCATTTCATTTACCTATTTATTACATTGTACTCTCCATTATTCTCTTTGTTAGGAGCAGCATCACTTCTTGTATTGTGTTTGCAAGAACCTGAATTATATATCAAACAAATTAGTGCATCAGCTATTAGCGACATATGCAAACACAGTGTTGAACTTGCACAAGCATTAGTAGATGCAGGTGCTCTTATTATTCTTGTGAAAATCCTAGTCAGTCCTGATGCCAGACCAAAGGTAATTTAATGTAGTATATGTTAAATAATTTTAGATAATTATAATTCATTAAATATATAACATCTATATAGCGTCAAGCATTGTTAGCGTTGAGCAGTGTAGCTAAACATTCTGCAGATTTAGCAGAGGCTGTGGTTGAGACAGATATTTTACCAAATATATTGATGCATATAGCTCATCCGGAGAAAAATATCAATAGAATTGCAGCTATCTTAATTAAGGAAATTTGTAAACACACACTTGAGGTAAGAAAATTTGGCAGATTTGCAGCGAGAAGATGCTTTGTTTTAAGAGTAAAATAAAGTAAAAAAGAGGTTATTATCTTGTTTTGTTTTATTTTTGAATGCACATTTTCAGTTAGCACAACTTGTAGTAAATTCTGGAGGCATCGCTATACTTATCGAATTGATTAATACCTCACAATCAGCAAGATTACCAGCAATCATGGCACTTGGATATATTGCTGGTCATTCCAATGAACTAGCTATGGCCATAATAGGATCTAAAGTACGAATTAATGAACAATAACATTCGATATTCAAATGATATAACATAAATAATACAATTATTCGGTATAGGGTATCGTACATTTAACAAATGTTTTACAAAAGAGCACAGAAGATCAAGTTCTTGCAATAACTGCATGGGCAATCGGACAGATCGGTAAACATACACCTGAACATGCGAAAATAATCGCAGTCGCGAATATACCGTTCAAATTATTAGAGGTACAAAATTATTGAGTTATTCTTTGTAGAAACAGTTATTATTAGTGTCACAAATACTTGAAAAATTTATTCTACGTCCTTTATTAAATCAACATTATTAAAATTTATTCTACACTCTAAGTTTATATTTAAAATATTAAGAGTGATTAAAACCTAAAAAGGATTGCAATATATATATTTATTTTTGAGAATAATGATTTTTCTGAAGAGTATCGGATATAATCTTTGTTTTTTTAAATAGCTACATAATGATGCAAAAAGTTCAGAAGATCTCAGAGTAAAATGTAATATGGCGTTGAAACAAATCTTACAAAAGTGCATGTATATGGAGGCTCTTGAACCTATGCTACATAATGCACCTCCTAACATTTTGAAATACGTATTAGGACAATTCAGTAAGGTAAGAATACAAGTATTTGACAAGTTGTATTTATATTTATTACATATGATATGGATAACCAAGTATAATATGGCTTTCTAATATATGATAAGATAAATAAGAACTAATTACATATCTGTTGAGCTATATATACATATACAGGGTGTCCCATTTTAATGTCCCACCCCAAACTCTTCGGTATTAAAGTTTCAAAGAAAATAATCTGAATAAAAGTTGTAGGGATTTAAGTGAGCTACCTTATGATGACCTTTACTTTGACCTTGACCTCTACTTTCAAGGTCATTTGAAGGTCAACTTGCGTTTTTCAAATGGAACTCTTATTTTTTATTACACTGTTACAATAACGCCCTGATTTTTGTTAATTTGATGATTTTTGAAATTTCCAAAAGTCTGTAAGTTAACAAAAGTCAAGGCGCTATTGTAACAGTATATTGAGACTAAATAAAGCAAGAAAGTCTATTACCATTTTTTCTTCCGACAAATAGTTAGCGAGATATCGTAAGTTAAGTGTTGAAAAAATCATCAAGTTTTCCTTAAATATCTCCAAAAAATATTAGGCAAATAAAAAAATGTTTTAGACAAAAGTTGTTCAAATTAACTAGTAGAAAAAAAACAGTGTAATAAAAAATAAGGGTTCCCAGTTAAAAAACGCAAGTTGACCTTCAAATGACCTTGAAAATAGAGATCAAGGTCAAAGTCAAGGTCATTATAAGGTAGCTCGTGGCGGCTAACTGCTGCCGGCGCAGACGGATGAGCACTTAGCAATTTGCGGAGACGGTGGCTAACTGATGCCGACTCTCGCAACAGAAACTTATAATTATTCGGCGTGGCGGCTAACTGCTGCCGGCGCAGACGGACGAGCACTTAGAAATTTGCGGTGACAGTGGCTAACTGCTATCGACTCTCGCAACAGACTGGTACGGTTCCCCGCGTGTTGCGGACTTAGACTTAGTGAAACGGTCCGGCTGCCGCAGCGTGTACCGCCGGGTCTTGTAACCGTCTTCCCGGTAGTTCGATGCGATATTGGAAAAGTCTACTCACCGGTCTTGGCCACGCTCAGGTAGTCTTACTCTCCGTGCTCGCTCCTCTGCTGATATTGCTGCTGTCGAAGTCGCTCTGCTCCACGAACTCTCTAATGTCTTCGTGCGAACGGGTTATATATCCTTGATTCTCGCAAACGGGGGTACTCAGTATCGTGTGGTGGGTCATCCCCGAATTCCGCGAAATCGGCGCATGCGGAATCGGCGTATTCGGGTTTTACCCCTTTCCACAATCATTCTCCGATTTTCCCCGATCGTACGAGACATTTGGCTCGGCCTGTTATCTCGGCGTCTAACGCCTTAGTGCCGTGGCACTGATGGTGCGGGGAAGGTTACGACAGTCTTCGGCCGGGCGATGACCGATTGTCGTCGCCGACACAGTTGTAACGGGGGACAAGTGTATACTTCTCCCTCGTTACAGATTCAGGGGTAAGGTCGGACTTTAGAGATACCCTGTATATACAGGGTGTATATAAGTAAGTGATACAACTTTTTACCGTACGATTTAGCATTACCGACAGCACTGTAGTTAATTGAGTCGCGTATAGATATTCCACGCATCATGTCGTTATCGGCAAGTTCAGATGGTTGACTTTTCGGCTGCTTGAGCTAAGACCGTAGTACGAAAAGATATAGATATTTAACGTGGTAATGCATTATAAAGATGTAATAAAAAATATGTTATGTGAGTCTTCAAATCTTTCCCGCTATTAGCGAACACTGTGATTATTGAGAACATTTATCACATCCTTTAATTGAACGCGGTCAAAAGCCGCCTTCCTTAAGATCACGAAGCATATGTAGACTGCAAGGCAGTCGAACGTATAGGATTTCTCAATGATTTGTCTTATGATGAAAATCGCATCTAACGTTGAGCGGTTTTTCTAAATCCTTGTTGTTCTTCCCGTATTGGTATTATATTTTCAATTTTATTTTTTAGGATGCTCGTGAATAACTTTAAAAGTGAATGTAGCAAGATAATGTTTCTGTAACTTCATGGGTCGCTTCTTGTTTCCTTTTTTATACATTCACTCCAAAAGAAAAATGCTTAAACGCTGGTACATTAGTACACTTAAAATGTGGGAAAAATTTACCAAATTTCAAATTATTATAACTTAGTAAATAATAAAGATAGAAAGATCTTTAAAAAATGCGTGCGTATTTTGAATTACTGATTTCTAGTCACTTACTGTAAAGCTTTATCACTAGGAACTTATTTATTTGAATGATGTATTGAAGCAAAAAGACAGTATATGAATCAAAGAATAAGGTAAGTCATTTTGCATCACGACAACGCTCAGTATATGTCGTAAAGTGAACAAAGATTGTCATATACACTTTAAAAAAGCTAGGAAATTCTCCTTCATACTTATTCACCAGACTTACTCCGTCGGTTTATATAATATTTAAACGCCCATGGGCTGAAGGGATGAAGTTACAAAATTTTCAATTTTGGAATGATCGTGCGTGCGACAAAAAATTATACACATAAGAATGTTGAATACATAGGAACGAATGAAAATTAGTAGAGTTATCATGGTTGTAGTGCTAGGTTTTTGAACTTTTTTAAAATTTATTATTAAATTGCTAATTCCACAACTTTTTCAGAATAATATGGAGTACAAAATCATTAACAGTACAAATTAATATAGAATGAGTATTATAAATAACCCAATAGGTCTGGTTTGATTTTGTTAATTTTTTTACTTACTTAAGAGAGATGAGCCAATTATTGTTATTGTTACATCATTTAGTAAATATAATTGGAATATAGATTAATTGAAGCTTCATCGAATATTTTATTTTGTTTATCTTTAGATATTTATCGATAAAATATAAAAAGCGATAATTATCGATAAAAAGCGATAATGTAATTTAAATTGATATAAAGCAGTACAAATATTTTTTATCATATGTAATCATCTATTCATTTCTCGTGATACGTTTTAACGATACACATCATACAAATTGTTAATAATAAAAACGTTTTATCCGATATAGAATAACCCATTTTTGACATAGCTGTTATATTTTTCTTTTATAAAAATGTCTTACAATCTTAACAAATAAAGATAAATGAAATACTTGTTGTTTCCTGTCCTTCATCGTCGTTCAACAATATTTTATTCCATAACTATAACTATTTTTTATAATATTTAAACCTATATGTCCAAGTAATTTGATTAAGTCTTCAGTCATAACTCACTCTACTTAAAAATTGGTCACAAGCAATTGCGTAAGGCAGATGTTTTTTTCCAACTCATATAAACTATTATATAATAAAATATAGTTTTCAAGTATTTTAAAGTCTTGAAGGAATTTCTAACATTTTGTTATAATGTTATAATACATACCCTGTATAAAATGTTGTATTAAAAAGTATTGCTTCGCATTCACGAGATTTTGTCGTGAATTCTGCTTTGCGGAAATCTGGGGTTGGATCGCGGGCCAATACTTTTCAATGCTATGGGGAATAGAACGTGAAAATCTTGTATGCCTCTGAATCCGAAAACAATTAGAAGAAGTAAATACTTTTCAATGCGAAAGTTCGCATTTGAAAATTATCGATTGCGATTGAATACAAGGCATATTTGAAATGAATTGAATCCTTTTTAATGCGAAGCATTCACCACTGCCGTCTCGTATTTAGCGCGGTAAAATTTAATAGGAATTAATACTTTTCAATCCTTTTCTTCGGATCAGAAAGCAGAATTCAGACATATTCAAAATGTTAATACTTTTTAATACGTTTCAATTCGACATTTTATACAGGCTACAAAACAGAGTTGGTAACTTATTTATGAAAAGTAACTTTTTATTTACTTTTTGCTTATTACCTACTTAAAAAGATACTTTTTATTCATAATGAAAATAGTATCGTTACCATTATTAAAAAAAAAAGAGAACAAGAATAATTTCTTTGCATTATCATTTCTTAATAAGTAACATGTTAAAATTTTGGTTATTTTCTTCAAATTTTAGAAATATGGAATGTTTTTAATATTAGCTTCTGCCTATTCCATACATTGAATGAGAGTGAAAGTATTTTGACGAATTTCGTTAAGATGTCATGGCTTATTCAATTTTATGGCAGTATTATATATCAAAGTATAATATATCAAAGATAATAAAAGGCAATGGCGATTATTTCAATGAAATAATAAATCGTTTTTAATAAAATTACTTAATTCATTTTTCTATTACGAAATTAACCAAAACTTTTACACTCATCCAATACATTTTATATATATAAAGTAACGATTATATTCATTATCATTACTAATAAAAAAATAATGTCGTTACAAACTAAAAAGTCGTTGAAAAAAAGTAACTTGCAAAGGTAAATGGCATTATAAGTAACGCGTTATTTCTAACCCTGGTGACGGTACAATTCCTAATAGTAATCGTACAAATAACTTATATCTATATCCTCTAATCACATTTACAAATCTCTACATTTATAGTCATGTTATATTTCGGTCGTCTGATTATTTTGAAGGCAGATAATCTTCAATTTCATTTCATTCGGTTTAGATACGGAATAATTGCTAATATTGTTATAACATAACAATTACCGTTACAATATAATATATGCGCCGCATTACTATATACGCGTATCAAAGTAATAGAAATTAAAAAATCGTTATCATATATTATTAATCGTGTGACACTGAATTTTTTCCTATAAGACACTTTTTTTAAAACAATATGATATATTTCATATCCTAAAAGAATACATTTTACAATCTTCCGGCAATAAGTAATTTGGCTAAATACAATTTAACTATTTTTATTAAATAAATTTACATTAAAAACCGTTATTTAACTAACCTTAAAAGATTATATAGATATATTATTCGCGCTATTTATTATGCATCTACTATATATTGATTTATTTTTAATAATAGTATCTGGCACACACACACACACACACACACACACACACACACACACACACACACACACACACACACACACACACACACGCACGCACGCACGCACGCACACACACACACACACACACACACACACACACATACATACACACAAAGACATAAATTGTATAAAAAAGTTTAGATATGAACAACAAGGAAGTATCAAGTTAGCTAACAAATATTAAAAACCGAATAATAAGATTAATAAACATAGAAACAAACTGTCACAGTATCAAATAATAAGACATTTTACATGTATATTAGCCCATATCTATTATAACAATTTTATTATTATACATGTCGTCCCTCTCTTAAGCTCACTAACAATAATAAAGATAATAATTATTTCAGATTATGTTTCCAATATTAAAAGTCAACATACTACAAGCTGTCTTGGAACAATTGTGCCACAGTTCATGGGACGTAAAATAAATAAGGACAAACAAAACAATCTTATACTGTTTTGTGATATTTGTGATAATAATAGAATTATTAATTATAGAAATCAGATGAATGAGCGTGTGCCAAAATGATAGGAGAGAAGTATTTGAGACGCTTTCGAGTTGTAACGCAGTCCAGTTGTTTGAACAACTGTCGTCGACATATGACGAAAAGAAACATATAGCTGCTTGTGCTTATATCGCCGCATCGCGCCTAAGCTGATATTAATATGTAGTCGCTAAATATTTGTGATCATAAATACGAGGTCATTTTATGAGACACCAGAAATAGCTCATATCGAAACCGTAAGAAGTTGTATAATAAAAAGGAAAAAAACCGGATGAGAGAAAGCCGTAAAAACTGATGGAATCTATATTCATTGAACAAAACATTTTTTTTCTGCGTATGATGAAGAAAGTACCAAAAGTCTATCGCAATCAATATGATATTAGAAGACGATAGAATATGACGATAAAAAAACTTAAAGTTCCCTATCATGTAACTACAGAAGAACAAAAAATTAATCATTAATTTACGATTATCGTTAATAGGCTTCCATTAATCCACAGTTTATAGAGAAGGAAATGATACGGATGAACGGAATGATAAAAGAATTCAATGCTCTGAGTATAATATATTCACGAAAGAGGACGATCAAGAATCAATTGTAAATGTACGGTACTTGTAGAGTTGCGGCAAATCTTCTTTCAAGAATATTTGAACACGCATGTCAAAGTGTAAAGTCTTTGCTATTATGCTCTGGTATTAAAATTTGTGTTTCCTTTGTAGATATCTTTAGTTGTATGAGACAACGAATACAACTTGATATTCTGCTTGAAGTGGTTCCACTCACATATTTCCGAAATAAGATTATTTCGTAGCAAAGTTATTTCTAAACCACGAAAGCTTAGTTTAGTTTGCAGGCTTTTGCTTAACGGAAGTCTATTAAAAATTCATGATTGATTCTTTGTTCTTCTTTCGTATTTTCTTAGAGAATTAGAGAGATGTGCGAAACATTAAGACATGACAATGTTACGTTCTTTATAATTATACGATAGAAAAACATCCACTCTTTACTCTTGACTACAATAGAATGTGACGCGTCTTCTATCGTAATTATATCTAGTGATAAATTTTATGTCAAGTACTGTTGAAACATGAATTGACAACTTTGGGCTTCTTTTCGTAGTAGTAATATATGATAGAAAACTTTGGCTTTTCCCTATTATTAATATTATTCTAATTATTTAATTATAACAGATATTCAATATTTTTTTCATGATATACGGAGAAAAATATTTGATTCAATGAAACAATTTTCTGATAAGATATGAACAATACAGAAATTCCAGTTGAAGTTATCAGAATTCAGTCTAAATTATCAAGATTTCTGATTAATTTAAGTAAAATTCTAGTATTACAATCACAATTTCTAAATTGTTTATATTTAAAAATTGATTCATTTAACCAAATTTTTCTCCATATAAACTTTCATGTAGATCCTATTGGTTTTAATCGATTTTTCTCTTACGACTTTTTTTTATCACAGAACTTTTACAGTTTCAATATGAACTATCTCATAATATGATTTTATAATTCTTTTATAATCTTGAATTGTAATCTCAAATATTTAGCGGCCATATCGATGCGAATTTAGGCACAGTGCGACGAAACGTAGGAGAAGTGATATAAGTACAAGCAGTTTTTCTTTTCCTCGTCACGCGCTGACAACAGAACAACTGGACCGCACTATAATCCGTGAATGATTCGAACGCTCCTCCCTATCTCGGCACGCGCTCATTTATTTAATTTCTATAATCAATAACTCAATAATTATTATATATATCGCAAAACGGTATGGAAATTTTTGGTCGCTTTAATCTGCGCTTCCGTGGACAATGACACAATTGTTTTAAAGTACTCTGTATTTATCAGAACAAAATTTAATATCATTTAATATTATAATCTTCTCTATCATAATCAGAATTTAATATCATTTCTCTTTTATTTGTAAAACTTTTTATTGGCAGTTTCTTATTATTTTATTTTTTAATTAAATTATATAGAGAAGGTTTTTCCCCTTATATAGTTTTTGTCCTATATACTATTTATATATATATATATTATATATATATTATATATATGTTATTAATAATTTAGAAATGTTCATACAGCAAATATAAAACCAGAAATAATGAAATGACTTATTAAATAGAAATATTAATAATTAATTATCAATAATAATAAAACTTATTCATCAATAAAATTGTGAATTTTAATTTTAATTGATTTATGATTATTTATAATTTATTGATTTATAATTTATTTATAATTATAATTATGCTAATATATTATAATTATTGCTAATTATATGTGAAAAAATTAAGAGTAATACTTTTTAATAATATAGAACATACATATAATATTTGACATCATTAGATACTGATATTATTTTTCTATATTTTGTAATGAAAAATTTCTATTTAAATATATAAATTCATATGTAGAACATTTTTTTGTATTTCACTTATTCTGCAAGTTAAAAAAAACTACCAAAAATATCTAGTTTTATTTTACGTAAATAAGAGAAATATATATTTTGATAAATCCTTTATAATTTTAAATATAGCCTAATTTTAAATACTAAATATAATTTTAAATATTCTATTCATGTTTCAATCTATAAAAGTAAATTCTTTTTTACTTAATTAATGTAATTTTAACATTAATTTATTCATCTGTTTCATCATTAGGTTTAATGCTAGCATAATTGTTCATGTTTCTATTCACTCTTAACATCTTAAGAAAACTGCCTAATACCAATATAGTTTTCCTGTGTCGTCTGAAGATCCCCGCGTACAATTCTTCACGTACATCTCTTCTATCGCTGACATCTGAGTCGATACTCGATACTGAGACAACAGAAGGCTTGACTGAGACCGATTGATGATAATTGTTAGTATCGCCCGTATTCAGAATTACACAATGTTGATTATTTATCATTCTGGTTGACAACTTTGTTGAATTTCTCTAATAATTTCTTCTTTATACACGTTTATGCTATTTTCTTTCTCAGTACATCAATATAAAATCGTGTATATTCGTGTATATTCGTAAGTATATAATTGACTAATTCGTTTATTCGGTCGTGAATATAATTTTTCAAACACTTTGAAAAATTTTTATACTCGCATTAGATTATAACAATTTTTCGTTCTTAGAGTAGCTACTTCTGTGATCTCTGCAAAACTGATTTATAAGAGATTTTATAGAGAAGATTTGTAGATATGTTTATACATACGTTTGTACATAAGAATAATATATTATAACTTAAAGTGAGAAGTGATATTTCTGTTTTACCACGTCATTTCGACTATTACTCTCTTGAAAATTTAAGACAGCTATTTTATCTCGTTATCAGGATTCTACATGTAGTAGATGTTTGCAATCGCTTGATACTAAATGTGTATGATATATTAGTACAAAGATGCCTTTTCCGAGTTTTAATATTTGTTGTTGAATCGTAGTCGAACAAATTCAAACAACTTTACATCAATCCTCATTTTTACAAAAAAAAGTTTATCTGATCTACTTTTTATCTTTCCAAACGTACATTCGTTTTAAAGCATTTGTACTAAAGATATCTGAGTCTGGATGTTTCATTGGGAAAGAGAGAAAGAGAGAGAGAGAGAGAGAGAGAGAGAGAGAGAGACAGAGAGAAAGAGAGAGAGAGGGAGGAGAGAGAGAGAGAGAGACAGAGAGAGAGAGAGAGAGAGAGAGGAGGAGAGAGAGAGAGAGAGAGAGAGAGAGAGAGAGAGAGAGAGAGAGAGAAAGAATGCAATATATTTAATTAAATATGAATTAATTCATCAGTTATTTTGATGGAACTTTTGTGTTAATCAGAATGAACTACTTTGAACTATAAAAATAAAATCAACAATAAGCCTCCTTCATACTTTTGCCGTCAAATCTGATGCTGAAATTGTTATATCCTCTGTTATAGATGATATAGTTTTAGCCACCGATATCTCTTAGGTAAAAGATCCAAGTTGAATGATAAACTGCGAACAGAGATGGAAGAAAGAAATTATAAGCATGCAAATATATAAAAACAAACAATATACAGATTAGATTATAAACGCAGCATATTTTTAAAGCATATTTTTAAAATATAAATGTTATGCCTATCATATGTAAGCAGATAGTTTTATATTGCTTAAAATGTATAAAGTTACACCACATATTTATTCTGCGATATTGTATCAAAATTATTGCTATTGATATATAACGTTTATGAAATTTTACATCTTATATCAGAAAATAACTTGGATAATATATAGCCAACAAAATAGCTTATGTCATAATATATATCATAATATGGCTTGTATAATGTTCCAATTATTGTTTTTAAATGTGTTTTCATATTTTCTCTATTTTTCTGTATCTAACATTTTTTATTTTCTTTTCTTCTTTTTCTTGTATGTGGAACAATTCTCAAAATAGTAATTTTAAACTGAAAAAAACCAATGTATAGATAGCAAGAATAATATAATTTTCATATAAGCTAATCATTCATATAGAACAATTGTGTCTTTTGTCAGACAATTTAATAAATAAATAAGTAAGTAATAAATCTGTTTGATAAAATCTATTAATGATATATACAGGATGTCCCAAAAGTAACGGACCACCCTAATAACTCTTCAGTATTGAAGTTTCAAGGAAAATGATCTGAATAAAAATTATAGGGATTTAAGTGACCTTATGATGACCTTGACTTTGACTTTTATTTTCAAGGTTATTTGAAGGTCAACTTGCGTTTTTTAAATGGGAATCCTAATTTTTTATTATACTGTTTTTTTCTACTAGTTAATTTGAACAACTTTTGTCTAAAACATTTTTTTATTTGTCTAATATTTTTTTAGATATTTGTGGAAAGCTTGATAACTTTTTCAATATTTAACTTACGATATCTCGCTAACTGTTTGTCAGAAGAAAAAGTGGAAGAAAAACTAGACTTTTTTGCTTTATTTAGTCTCAAGAATATATTGTTACAATAGCGCCCTGATTTTTATTAATTTGATGATTTTGAAATTTCCAATTTGATTCGGATCATTCAATTTTATTCAGATCATTTTCCTTGAAACTTCAATACTGAAGAGTTATTAGGATAGTCCGTTACTTTTGAGACACCCTGTATAACCAATTTTCACATGAAAACTTTTAAGAAATTAGATATTTTATGTAATCCATGATAATATTGTGTAACTATGTAACAATGATATTTATACAACCAACTTCTATATTTTAAGTGCATGTAAATTTTTAATGACAATTATGAATATATATTTGCATATTGTTTTATATATGTATTGATAAATATTGCATATTATTTTATATATATATTGATAAATTCAACAGTGAATATTATTGGTTAATTAATGCACGAGTAATAAGAATTCAAGAAAAAAGAACTATGTATCAATTTTATCTATATATGGCAATATATAATAATGCATAATCATACATGTTCACAATAAAAAAAATGCTGAATATAAATACAATCATAGTAAATGCTTATGCTTCTGGCAGCATATATCAACATTTTATTTGAATAAAACACGTTTTATTTGAATAAAACTATTTCTTCTTTTTTTCATGTAACATCATTCTTTTTCTGTATGAATATACATTTATATATGTGACCATATATATACAAACTTTATATCTAATTTGCATATAATCATACATAATTTGATATAATTATATGTAATTATATATGATTTTTTTTCTCAAGAATACACATTATAATAATAATTATAATATGCAGTGGCACATATTATAACCCTTATGAAAAAAACACTCAAATATTGAGTATCTATATTCAATTATTTAAATTTACTGTCAAATGTGGATATATACACTCAATTTGAGTATATATATCCACATTTGACAGCAAATTCGAACAATTGAGTGTAGATATTCAATTATTGAGTGTTTTTTCCATAAGGGAAGAGATGTAAGCATGTGCTACATTATCTGTAATTAATAAATACAAGAAGAATGGGCAGGGAGAGAGAGAGAGAGAGAGAGAGAGAGAGGGGGGAAGAGGAAGGGAGGGAAGGAGGGGGAGAGAGAGGGAAGAGAGGAGGGGGGGAGAAAGAGAGAGAATTTCCATTATATTTGGAAAAAACTTATTTTATGATAAAATTGTCTTCAAGCAACATGTAATATATTGCAACACATGATATATATATATATTGTATTATCATATAACATCTTTACAAATATTGATTGAAATTACTTTGTTGCTGTTAATTATATAACATTGTAATATGTTTATATATGATATATATATATATTGTGTTATCATATAACATCTTTACAAATATTTATTGAAATTACTTTGTTGCTGTTAATTATATAACATTGTAATATGTTTATATATATATATATAGATCTTACCAAATGATGCAAAAGCAAGAAGATCATTCGTAACATCAGGTGGCTTAAAGAAAGTTCAAGAAATTCAAGCTGTGCCTGGTACCGTTCTCTCCGAATATATAACAATCATCAATTGCTGTTTTCCAGAAGAAATCATTAGGTTATCTTTTCTTCTTTCATATCTTTGGTATCATTTACTTAATATAAATTCACAATAAGAATATCATTATTTATGAGAAAAGAAAAACAATTATATTTATATTTATATTGAATATATTTTCTATGTTGCATAAACATATTTCATGCAATCATAATAGTCTTTTTTACTAAATCTATTTTGTACACCAAGCATTACATGTATTTTGCACTTTGCCTTTTGTATTTTGATGGTACAATTTAATGGTTTCAATAATTATTTTACTGCAATATCTCTGATCAATTATAATTTATTAATTAATAAACCTCTTATAAAAATAGTAACAGCGATCAAGGAGAAAGATAATATATAATTATATACTGTTATACATGATTATAAATTATATATAATCATATATGATTTATAAATGAGTTTGGTCTATAGATAACTATATATATAATCATATATATTTATATATATTCGGTACATGTATATGACAAAAAATATTGTTGAATAAGGAAAAGAAATAATTTGATTCAATTAAACATAACAATACTCATTTTGTTATAAATATAATTCTATATAATTATGGTCATTAGAAGACAATTTATATATAATTTTTTTCTGGGAACTTATATAAATAAATTATGTGTGCAGTATTGCACATATATGAATATGAGAAAAACTTAATTTCTTGAGTATATTCTAAAAAACTATCAATTATTTTGTGTAAATTAAACCAAATAGGAAACGTTAATAAAGGGGTTAATTATCAAAACATTAGTTGCTTAGTTGCTTAACACTTCGTCATGGCACTCACATATTATGAGCTGATGAATATATTCTCACGCCTAAACATTTGGTTACTTTACACTATTAATTCACGTTGTTAGTCAGTGTAAATAACAACTCCGTTTCTGACTGACTTCAATTTATATTAGTCGAGTAATAGACGATGTATGTGTATCGGCCATGTTGTTTCAGCTGATCGCGTTTAAAGAACGTGGTATAGTGGATCAATAACAAGAAAGATACACGTTGTTATAATTATAAATTTGCTTATTGTTTATCATTTAAATATGAGTTACATTATATTAATGTTAATTATTATGTTTCCGAACGACATAAATCATATTGTTTCGCCTACTCGGGAGGAAAGACCATGGCCCTTATTCTCGAAAATTGTTTTTTTTTCATTCATTCATTCAATATATGGCTCTGAGCAGAGTTATTACACTCTTTCTCCTACGCCAATCACAACGATTTTGGAAATAAAAGAGAAACAGGGACAACGCGTACGCAGTCCCCAAGGTCAAAAATATGCGTAGTTATAGGAACCACATCCAAACGCTATGTAGACGAACAAAAATCTCTCGAAAATTTGTGAAAAATATCGTATACGATGGCTGTGTTCCAATATTCACTGCCAGCACTGAAAATCTATAATATACATGACACAAACCATATATTTTCAGTATTGGCAGTGAGTTTTGGAACACAGCCGATATTTCATCAGTGGGGCAATTTGATTGGTTGAGAATCGTGATATCTAGTGACATTCATAAAGTATCATTTGCCGTTTCCCAAAATTCACTGTCAGTACTGAAAATATATAGTTTGTGTCACAAACTATAACTTTTCAGCGCTGGCAGTCAATTTTAGAACACGGCCCATGGGCCCCATACTGGGTCTATTCTTTATAACTGCACTGTTGAATTAGTGCAATAAGTTAGAGTGAGAAAAAATATAGTTGTCTCATTTTAACTTATTGCACTAGTTCAGCAGTGCAGCTATAAAGAACAGACTCACTATGTCTATGGGCAAATCAACTTTTTCATTCTGATTTAAACTGCCAACTTCGGCTTCACTCTGCGGACGAAATGTTTAGGGCCAGAGCACAGACTTCTGCATAACGCATAATACACAACGCATAAGAGAATCAACCAATCAGAGTTCTTCATTTCTGTCCTGAGGAAGGAAATGAAGAAAACTAATTGGTTTATTCTCTTATGTGTTATGTATTATGTGTTATGCAAAAGCCTGTGCTCTTGCCCTAAGAATATCATTGACTTCTAGTTCAACTGTAAAAAAGCAAACCTGATATTGGTAGATTTGTTAGTTTTAACTGTGCTCTGTACATTTAAAATCTTATCTTTGTTTCCTTCCGAAAATTATATATTTTATCCTCCAAACAAGTTTATTTCATTTTTATCATGGAAAATATAGATATAGCAAACACAACTCCTATCAATCCTTCACTTCTTATTTATTTCTAAATTGCCGTGTTGTGGGAAATTGTTTCAGATACTATTCGCCCGGTTATCCTGATAGTCTTCTGGAAGCTGTGGAACAGTATCAACCAAAATGTATATTTTTATTTGATCACAGATCGTCATCTGATAATATGGATTCTAATTTGTCCTCATTTAATAATGACGAAAGGTAAATTTAAATTATCATATTTCTATTATCGAATATTTTACTACATAATATCACATATTGGTAAAGCAAAAAAATATGCATTATAATTTAAGAAATGTAGTATGTTTTTTATGCAACTGTAATAAACATTAAATTTTTAGTTGCCGGTTAATTTTCTAATTGTAATAACTTATATTGCAATAATATTACAGTATTATAATATTATACTATAATATACAGGGTATTTGAAAGCTTATCATACAGACGAAAGTTAGAGATATATTGAGTGTAGCTGAGAAAAAAAGTCATGTACCATAATGTCAAATTGGCAATAGTTATCGAGTTATTAATTGAAACATGTGAGCCAATGAAGGCATAGAGAGCGCTGGACGGCCGCTTCTTGTCGCTTGCGCTCACTCGCTCCTCGTCGCGCGCGCTCGCCTATTGACGCTCGTTGATTTCGCCTATACCAAATGTCTACGTGCTTACTGCGGTCGCCCAGTGCTCTCGATGGATGGGGGTACCGGTATGCATGCCTAGCTCGGTCCCCCACCGTAAAACACACAGAGGAGCACAGTGAGGTTTTAGCCGGTAAGAGTCCGGCATAACTACTACCATCCCCAGGGGGAAGGTATCCATGATGGATTTTCTCACTTAAAAAAAATTATATATATATATATATATATAAAAAAGTCCCATACCGTTTGGCGAGATTCGCAATAATTATTGAGTTATTAATGACAGAAGTCTGACGAATGAGCGCGCGCCGAGATGGATGATTGAGGAAGCATCGCAGCTAGAGCTGCCAGACTTTTTTATACATGCATACATACAATGTAGATACATAAATTCTGTTTCTCGCGTTAGAATCTATTACAGACTTGCGAGTTGATGTGATGCAAGTTTATTAGTGTAAAAGCTTCCTTTTACTTGCTAGATGTGTTTTCAGATAATTGACCTTAAGTAGCACAATTTCCATACATTTACATATATAAAAATAAGACATCTTAGCGAAAATGAAGTAACGCAAGTAATCGCTTTAATAGAAGAGGATCTTTATCTCTGCTGACACACACACACACGACGATATATCGTGAAATTATTAAGACCCAATCGGTGTCAGTGATACTATCACACAACCAAGTTTCGAAAAAAATGATTATATGGAAGGAAAATGTCGCCGAAAGTGAAGCAATAGAATATCACAAATCAAGCAGCTTAGATCTTAACCCACGTACGTTTTGAAAATACACTAAAGGAGATTTAATTAGTTTTTTTTACTTAGGATTTTTACTTAGGATTTCGCATTTACAATTTTAAGTATACCATTAAAATATCTAATTGTTTTATTAGAGTCACCGAAGTCATAGGCAGCTTTCAGTTCTGTTCGCAGATACGCTTCTTTCGCAGATACGATGTTTTCTTTATTTACTAGTCAAGTCATGTCGGATACGAATGGGACCATCATAACATTTAACATTACGGACAATCGACAGAGCCTCATCCTTGTTTTGAAAAATAATGACATGTAATGCTCTATAAAAATCAACACGCTTCTTATCAAGTCTAGCCAACTTTACATTATAACGATAATTTGGAATTATAATGTTACATATTTCGTTAACTAAAGAGGCATCTTGATCCAGAAGACGTATCATGTTCTTTAAGATCGAAAAATATTAAATTCCGAGCTCTGCGCTCTCTATCCAGCAATTTTCAGCTTCTCTTCAAGATTGGCGCTCGGCGTAATACGGCCTTCACATGTAGGGATCCTCGCAGAAAGATCACCGATATCAGCCCTGACTTTATCCAGTTCGGTAAGATGTATCTCCTTAAATTCTAAACGAAACTTATCAAATTCTGAGCGAATAATATCTCTGATGCTCCGAAATAAGTTATCGTCCAGTGACAATACAGTTGAGATGCTAGGCTGCATACCGTCCGTTATTTGACCCTTAAAATTAGGATGACCAGCACCAGACAAATATCCCGGATGCGAAATCAGACCACACGAGCACGAGACAGGCTTGACCACTCGGGTCGAGCAACCCTAACAACTTAGGCTCCATGAGAAAAGATTAGCAAGATCCGAAATCTAGAAACTATCACGCACAGAGCAAAACAAAACATGTTTTGCTCTGTGAAGAACAGAACAAAACTGACTCCGACGACAGACAGATCTGATCTGAATTTTGTGATTTAATTTCTATTTATAAAAGAAAACGGATATAAAGATGCTTCTTATTACTTTTTTTAAAAAATAAAATTATTATTGAATAATGCAGCATTTAAAAATAATTTAATTTATCTATTAAGGAAGATATATTTATTATGAATTAACAAACATTTTGTAAACATTTTGTTTCTCGTATTCCTATTACAGGCCATATTTAGAAATGTGTTTTACATAACATCATTTGTTATTTAACTTCATATTGCTACAGTAAAATACAAATATGTAATCGTCTGAGTTTTATATAATATATATTCTAAATATGGCCATAATTTTACATGTATTTATAAGAGTATTATAATCATCAAAACACTTATATCTCACCACTCAATAATTTCTTATCAAATAAAAATTCTCCCAACTCTCCGTGTGTTTGCATCATTTTACCCAATGTCGAAATTTTACCAGCAAGTTCCCGTTGGCCTTTATATTGTTCATCTAAGAAATCTGACGTAAAATAGTCCACCAACTGTGAAAAATTATAATATGTAATTAATAACGGATTATTCCTGTAAGATTTATTTTTATTTTCTTATAATACTCACATGATAATCATTGAAAGTGAACGTTTTCGGATTTTCACAAGTTGTGATTATTTCACGAATGCTACGCGTAACTTGAGCTTCTAAATTCAAAGCGTCAGTGAGGGCTTCAACACCACTATTCCACTCTTCGCGTATCGGTTTCTAAGTAAATTTTTGTAATTACAATTACAAGTATATTTGTGTGTGCCAAATTAATTTTTTCATAATCTCTATTTAAATATTCTAATACACTCAACGCTCATAAAATGTTCGTAAAAAGAGGAAATACTTACCAAAGGAAACTTAAGAAGCTTACTAACGTCACTTGTAAGTTGTCCTCGCATTAATAAATATTCAATGACTTTTAATGCATGCTCTCTTTCTTCGCTTGCACTCTCAAAAAAGAATTTACTAAATCCTGGACGATTTATAGTATCACGTGCAAAATGAGCACCCTGGTAACATAAAAAATATATTAACGTATATTTACCGATATTATTTTATATTATATATATATAGTGGGAATAATTATATTATTCTACAAAAAAAAAAGACTTTTCCTCAAACACTAAAACAAGACTATCATAAATAATTTTCTGTAGCTTTTTGGACATTGAATATGAATCCAGTTTCCAATTGCTCCATTACTTCATTTTTTTAAGAAATTTGCAATTAAAATTGCAAAAAGAATTATTTTCACATATTTGCATACCATTGCAAGATAAGTCATTGCAGCTTCGACTTCGGTTTTGACTTGAGATTCCATGATCTTTATGCATGGATCTACCATATCCACCCATGACGTTGGTAATTCTGCAGGTTTCATTGTACCTGGAGAAAGAGATAAAATATAAAATCAGACTTAAAGATAAAAATATATTTAATATGATGAAATATTAATTAATTTTTATATCCTGTGTGTTGTGTGTGCGCGCGCGTGCGCGTACACAGGGTGTTAAAAAGTACACCGACCAAACATAAGAGATACATAAATAAACAATATGAGATAGGAAACTAATGGAATAATAGGAAACTAATCGGAATAATAGGAAACTAAATGGTTGAAAATGCATTGTATGAGATATAAGGTGTTAACGAAAAATACTATTATTTAGAATTGCAATTGGAATTATATGACATGTGCATATCAGTCATTCTAACCAATGTAAAGCGATGCATTTTGATACAAAGAAGCAATCTGAAATGCCGAACGTTACTGTTAATTTAAAAGCCGAGAAATCAATTAAGTAAAGTTATAAACACATACACTGAATATATTCTCCCATTGTTTAATGTTTAAAAATAACTAAAAATTTAAAAATAATTAGCTAATTATGCGCTAATATTATTGTGTTTAGTTGAAATTAAATCTATTCCTTTTGTTTATATTTAAGCTAAAAAATATATATTAGTAAAGTGCAATTGTATAACAACAGTATTTTTCTTTAATAACGGTATTTTCCTTATATTTCATACACATAATACGTTTCTGATTAATTTTCTAACTCATATTGATTATTTACGTATATCTTTCATTATCTCTCATAATTTGTTATATTTTGTGGTATATGTGGTATATTTTTGTAATATCTTGCACGCACGTATGTACGCACGCACGCATGCACACATGCACGCGTACATACACCCACACACACACACACACGCGCTCACACACACGCGCTCACACACACGCGCTCACACACACACACACACACACACACGCACACGCACACGCACACGCACACGCACACGCACACACACACGCACACGCACACGCACACACACACACACACGTACGTACGTACGTACGTTCGCACGCACGCACGCACGCACACAAGCACACGCACCCACAAACGCACAGCATTCCACTTTAATCAATCCGGTCAATTTTTTTCTAAAATTATTGATATAGAATGAAATATTTCAGATAAAAAGTGAAGCAGTTTCGTGAGACTATTTTGATCACGTTGTTTCTTTTCTAAATGTAGATATCAAAGAAATATGAGTCGTACCCACATTTTTAAATGAAACTGTCCATTTCCAAATATTTACGATTGTAATCCTTCTCAAATAGAACGATCATAGATACTCACAAGAGTATTGCACAAGAATTGTATGATGTAAATCATCGATTTGACTGAATTCTTTTAGATAGGTAAAAATTGAAAAATATTTGACTCGTATTGCCGTTTGCTTAAAAACTCGATAGTTTTTAAATTATTCAATAATAAAGTTTAAGGAATTAGACATGGCGCATAAAGTAGAATACACAAGCAGGCTCTTCCTAAATGCCGCGGTGAGGGAGCAACCTAACTCACGTGACTAATAAGCTAACGATTAGAGTTCGATTTTGCTATGATTTTTTTCTTCTTTTTTTTTCAAATCTAATATTAACGTAAGTATAATCGAAAACATATAAAATACATGTATACAGGGTGTCCCATTTTAATGTCCCACGCCAAATAACTCTTCAGTATTGAAGTTTCAAGGAAAATGATCTGAATAAAGTTGTAGGGATTTAAGTGAGCTATTTTATGATGACCTTGACTTTGACCTTGACTTCTATTTTCAAGGTCATTTGAAGATCAACTTGCGTTTTTTAAATGGGAACCCTTATTTTTTATCACACTCTTTTTGCTACTAGTTAATTTGAACAACTTTTGTCTAAAACATTTTTTTGTCTAATTTTTTTGAGATATTTGAGCAAAACTTGATAACTTTTTCAATATTTAATTGATTCAATATTTAATCTGATGATTTCGAAATTTCCAAAAATCAGTAAGTTAACAAAAGTCAGGGCGCTATTGTAACAATATATTCTTGAGACTATATAATATAATAAGAATATAATATATAATAAAGAATATAATATATAATAAGAATATAAATAATATAAGAATAAAGCAAGAAAGTCTAGTACCACTTTTTCTTCCGACAAATAGTTAGCGAGATGTAAGTTAAAAATTGAAAAAGTTATTAAGTTTTCTTCAAATATCTCAAAAGATATTAGACAAATAAAAAAATGCTTTAAACAAGAGTTGTCCAAATTAACTAGAAGAAAAAGTGTCATAAAAAATAAGGGTTTCCATTTAAAAAACGCAAGTTGACCTTCAAACGACCTTGAAAATAGAAGTCAAGGTCAAAGTCAAGGTCATTATAAGGTAGCTCACTTGAATCCCTACAACTTTTATTCAGATCATTTGCCTTGAAGCTTCAATACTGAAGAGTTATTTGGGATGGGACATTAAAATGGGACACCCTGTGTCCCATATGAGTCCCTATATGAGTGTATATAGATGTTCGGTAACTCATGTAGCTACAGAACCAATAGAAATATAGAACTAATTAAAACAAATATAAAAGTCCCATAGTATTTTATGATAAATGCAATTGTTATCAAGATATTAATTACAGAAATCTGATGAGCAACCCCGCACCGAGATATTAGAAGTTACTTGGGTTCAGCAAAACTACACTCACTCCAAAAAAAAGCGGTACACTTAAAATATGGGAAAAATTTACCAAGCTTTAAATGATCATAACTTGGTAAATAATAAAAATAGAAAGGTCTTTAAAAAATGAAAATAAAACTTGGAATCTCTAATTAAAGAATCGATTTATTTTAATGTAGCGAGAAAAATTTATTGAAAATGGAGATGACAAAGCGAGAGTATGCGAAATTGAAAAATATTTGTCCGAGTTTGTCACGGCGCATGGCGAGAGTCAAGTATTGCAACTCAATCGCATAAAAAGCATGTGATAGTATAGAGTCTCTTCTTTAAAATGCTTTTTTAATCGTGTCGTACGATGATTTTTCACCGAATTATTTACATTTAAAGAAAAAAACAGTATTTTACTTTAAATGCGAATTATTCAGCAACAAATCATCATATCGAAACGATTCAAAAAGCATTTTAAAGAAGAGCCTTTGTACTACTCACATGCTTTTTATCCAATTGCATTACGACACTTGACTCTCGCTATATGCCGTGGCAAACTTGGACAAATATTTTTCAATTTCACATGTTCTCGCTTTGTCATCCGTCATTCTCAATAAATTTTTCTTGCTACATAAAAATAAATCGATTCTTTAATTAGAGATTCCAAGCTTTATTTTCATTTTTTAAAGACCTTTCTATCTCTATTATTTACCAAGTTATGATCATTTGAAGTTTGGTAAATTCTTCCCACATTTTAAGTGTACCGCTTTTTTGGAGTGAATTTATTTATGGTGCTCGTACATGAATTATTATCAATGATGGCACTTCTCTGTTTCATTCATATATGAATCATTACCAATGAAAAAAGTATAAACATAGATCCAGAAACGCTTCTTTTCCAAGTTATAAACAGTTTTTATTAAGCATATCTCCAACATATTTCAGTCGTATTACTCGAGAGAATAATAATTACATCAATAGATAGATTAGCAGAAGAGGAGCCATCGGTCTTCTACAAGTTTGGCTTACACGACCGCTCGATTTGAATCTCTTAGATTTTTATCTATAAGTACATCTTAAGACTCTTGTTTATAAGACATCCTCGTGATCTTGCCTTAACCGGCCGGATCAGTCCTGATATTGTCTTATAACTTGACAAGTACTTAACGAAAAGTAACTTAGTTATAGTGTTTTGGAAAATTCAAGATGAGCTAGAAGAATATGTAATGAAAAATAGGGGTTCCATTTAAAAAATGGAGTGACCTTCACGTGACCTTCAGAGGACTATCCAAGGTCAAATCAATGGCACCATCTTATGTCCCTCTTTGAGCCAAACAACTTTTGTTCGAAATATTTTTGTCTACTGAGTTTAGTTTTCGAGATATTGGGCTGGATCATTTAAAATGGGACACCCTGTATATAATATTAGGTTGTCTAAAAAGTATTGAGCCTTTGGAGGTCAAAATTGACAATACATTTATTGTTATTTGAAAATAACATTATGAAACCACATATGGACCATTTTGTTCGATGACCTTCTGCCATTTTTCCGGCAACACCATAATCCCGTCGCTATAGAACTTCTGTGGTCTCTGGTCAAAAAATTGTGACACGTGGTTTTCACAGGCCTCTTTTGAAATTAACTTAACACCATTCAAGGAATTCTGCAGAGACCGAAACAAATGATAGTCTGACGGCGCCAGGTCCGGGCTATACGGTGGATGCATTAAAACCTCCCAGCCAAGTTCTCTCAATTTCTGACGGGTCGTTAAAGATGTATGCGGTCTGGCGTTGTCAGCGTGGTATACGACACCCTTTCTGTTGACCAGTTCCGGCCGTTTCTTTTAAATTGCTAGGTGCAATCGCGCTAATTGTCGACAGTACAGGTCCGAGTCTATTGTTCTGCGTGGCAGCAGCAGCTCGTGATGCACGATGCCTTACCAATCTCACCAAACGCATAATCTTCCTGGGCGTCAGTGTGGGCTTTGCCACAGACTGTGAAGCTTCTCCTCACTTCGACCACGATCTTTTTCATAGATTGTTGTTGTAGGTTATCCACTTTTCATCACTCGTGATCAACCGCTTCAGGAATAGCTCAATTTCGTTACGTTTCAGTAGAGATTCGCAGATAGAAATTCGATCAAGTAAATTTTTTTGAGTCAGATCATGTGCACCCAAACATCGAGCTTCTTTTTGTAGCCAACTTTCTCCAAATGGTTTAACACTGTTTGGTGATGGATGTTTAGGTCATTGGCGATGTCATGACTGCTTATGTAGGACTGCTTATGATATGCCGGTCTTGCTCGACTTTTGTCAGAATATCATCCACTTTTTCTGTGATTGGTCGCCCACTGCGAGAAGCATCTTGGACATCGAAATTTCCAGAACGAA